GTATATGGGGAAAACCCACACATCTGATGTCAGAAGAGACAGAGAGAATAGTAGGAGAAAATGAGTTTGAGCTGATTTTTCCTTCTACATCAACAGAACACCAAAAGCTTAAATTATGAAAGAAAAAAATAATGTGGACACTTTAAGAACTTCCCTATATAAGAGACATTTCTGAAAGAATTAAAAGAACCATAGAAAATATTTGCAAATCAGATGTCTTACAAGGGGCCAGTATCTTGGCTGTATCAAAAATAAAGACCTGGTGAGTTCAATCCCTGGTACCAATAAAAAGGAAAAAGACAAAAAATAAAAATAAATAAAAATAAAGACCTGTCAGAATTCAGAAAACCCAGCTGACATGTTCTCAGAGAAGGCATATGGAAGACAAGCACAGGAAAAGGTTCTTGGTCTTTTCTGAGGGTGGGTAATGTACTTAGGACAGCACTGCTGTTCCCTACCTGCTGGAGCCTGAACTTGGGCGTCAAGCACGTTAGACAAGAACTCTGCATTGAGCTGCATTTTCCACCCTTTTATTTTGAGACAGAATCTTACTAAGTTGCCCATAGTGGCCTCAAACTTGTGGTCCCTCTGCTTCATCCCAAGTAGCTAGGATTCCTGGCCTGTGCCACCAAGCCAAGCTCAAGTTTTACGGACTCCTGACAGCTGATGGAGACATGGAGCGCAGGACTGATGTGCTGCTGATGGACTGCAGAATGCACACCTACTGGAAACATCACAGCAAATTCTCAGTGTTTACGCTGGATGACCGTCCAATCTTATGTCTAGTTACTAATCGTCTAGGTATTTTATAGATGCTTCTAGGTATTTAATACAGTCATATCCACACAAAACTTGTACACAAATGTTTATAACACTATTCATAATAGGAAACATGTTAAAACTCACCTATTTGTTGACAAATGTGCCAACAAAAAACATGGTATAACCATATAAGACAGTGTTAATTGGTCACAGAAAGGAACAAAGGAACTGAAGTACTGATACATACTACAATACAGATGTATCTCAAAAACCTCCTGCTAGATGAAAAAGCCAGTCACAGACAATACATATGACTTTGTTGATAAGAACTGTCTAGCACAGGACATGGTGGTGCAAACCTGTAATTCCAGGACTTAGGAGGCTGAGGCAGGAAGATTGATGTGAGTTCAAGGCCAGCCTGGGCTACACAGCAAGACCCTACCTCAAAACTCAAAAGCAAAAACAAAAATAAATGTCAAAAACAGGGACATCTACAAAGGCAGCAAAAAAATTAATGGCTACTTAGAGTGAAGAGAGCCATCTAAGAAAGTAATAAGATATTTCTTGTGATGAAAATGTTCAAAATTAACTGTGGTAACATCCAAATATTGCTGAAATATATATACTTTAACAGGGTGAACTGTATAGTATGTGGATTGTATTTCAAAGCTATGCTAACTTCTCTAACTTCAAAGCTGTGCTAACTTTCTCTAACTTCTAGAGAAAGTCCAAGGCAAGAAAGGACATAAAAAACGGGCTCTAGAGGAAATTGAACTCCCTAATGTTACATCTACAGCAATTATTAGGGACAGCCTAACTTAACTGCACGGGGTTGAGGGCATGCCTGGCATGCCTAAGGCCCTGGTTTCAATCCTCACAAGCACATGCAACAACAAAATGTTTAATATGCTAGAAGCTTAGAGGGAAAAGTGGGCAGTGCATAAGAACAGCTGGGTAATATACACATAGAAACTTAAAAAACTCTAAGAATAGCAACCAAAACCTAAAACCTAAAACCTTGCTACACATACATACACACACACACACACACACACACAGTAACAGAAATGAAAGATATCTTTGGCCAGATGTGATGACAGACACTAGGAATCCCATTTCTTGGGAAGCTGAGGCAGGAGGGTCATTGTGTGTTTGAGGCCAGCCTAGACTACAAAACCGAACAAAAAAGCCTTTTGTGGGCTTAGCAGCAAACTGTACAAGGCAATCTATGAGTTAAAGGATAAATCAATAGAAATTCCCTAGGAGCCGGGCGTGGTGGCTCATGCCTATAATCCCAGCTCTCAGGAGGCTGAGGCAGGAGGATCTTTCCAAGTTTGCAAGATCTTTGTAGGCTAGGCTACAAAGTGAGCTCAAAGCCAGCCTGAACTGCATAGTGAAACCCTGTCTCAAAAAGACAAAAAAAAAAAAAAAAAAAAAAAAAGAAAGAAACGAAAAAGAAAAACTCCCCAAAATAAAGCACAGAGAGGAAGAAAAAGGAGTGGAAAACACAAAATAGATTAAGAACTATGGGAGAGTTAGGAGAAGTTTAACATAAATGCTACAAGCAGAAGAAGATAAGAGAAAGGAGTTGTAATTTAAATAATGAGGCCTAAAAAATTTCCAGTTAACATTAGACACAGCAACAGGAAGCTGATGGAACACCAAATAGCATAAATAAAACCTACACTAGGTTTGTCCTGTCCAAACTACAGAAGGTAAAAGATAACATTTTGAAAAAAGCCAAAGAAAAAACTTACATCAGATTGCCTTCACAAACCATGAAAGTAAAGAATGAGAGAGTAACAAATATTGTAAAGTGAAACTAGAGTTCGGTATCCAAAGAAATTATTTTTTATACTAAAATGAGGGGAAAAGGCTCTCGGCCAGGTGTGGTGGTGCAGGACTGCAATTCCAGCACTCAGCTGGCTGAGGCAGGAGGATCACCATGAATTCAAAGTCAATATGAACTACATACTGAGACCTTGTCTCAAAAAACTTACAAAGACTGTCAGACAATACCAGAGAAACTCCAGACTTGATAGAAAGACTTTACACTGCAGGCACCTAGATTTAGCAGGTAAAAGGGGCAGTGTTTTCAGAACTTGCTTTATCTAAGCGCAGCAACTCCTATGAGACTACCATGAATTTCCTCTCTGGAGGAGTTTTACTGGCCAGAAAAGAGGCATCCACTGGCACATACGTAAACAGCATCGCACTTTTCACCTCCTCTTTGTCCCAAGGATCTAAGCATCTTTCATTAAGACAGCCATTTGAACTTCCCTTTCCTCGCCCTCCACCTGATTCACACTGACCAATCCCTACGTATAATGGCAGAGTCACTTTTTTTTCTTTTTTGCCTATAACAGAAAGCTTTGTCTTTTTTCCTGTTAATCTTTGTGCAGTTAAAACACAAACCTCTAATAACCAAACCTAAATTGGCAGAGGAAAAAGTTTTTTGCCTAGCACACTCTGGGATTAACACGAAGGCCTCTGTGGACGCCAGGCAGGCACTCTACCCCGGTGCTACACCCTGCCCTTTAAAAACCATTTTAAATTTTTGAGACAGAGTCTGGCTAAGCGGCCCAGACTGGTTTTCAACTTGCAGTCCTCCAACACAACCTCTCAAGTACTTGCAGCAATCAATTCAGTAGCACAAGAACTATCAATCTGGATTCCTGTCAACCTGTAAGTCATCTAGCTGAGCTGTTCGCCTTAAAAGAGTGCTTGTGTGGAAGGGTATGGTGAACTGCCACCTAGTCTAAGTTTCACAGCTGTTCCTCGGTGTTCACCGGGAATTTCTGTGAGGCAGCTGTCTCTGCAGACCAATCTCCTCTCAACAGTCAGGGCTGTGCTGTAAGGCGCCTGTCTGCTGTGTATGTAGCGGGAGGGCTGCTCCACAACTGCGGATTCAGACCTTGCCCAGAGAATGCCCAGCCCTCTGCCCTGTTTCAGCGACAGGAAAGAGACTAAAGGCACCTTTATGTACCTATTCTCCTTTCAGTCCAAGATTAGGACAGCAGGGCCTTTTTTATGGGATCCAAATCACAGCACCACTCCAAACAGCATTGCATTTATAGCTTTAGTGTGTGTGTGTTGCATTTATAGCTTTAGTGTGTGTGTGTGTGTGTGTGTGTGTGTTTCTCACCACCCACAGACTTTGATGTTCATCCCTTTGGGGGCAGAGGGAAGGGCAAAACGTACACAACACAGAGCTCCAAATGGTAAATAATAGCCCAGTAGCCGTGGCTAAGCTCTGACCTCTGGAGCCACATTCCGGCGCTGGTCCGCGCAGGAGCAGCTCGTGCTGATTTAAACAACCTCGAAAGCGGCGCTGGGCTCCCCGCACCCACCCTTCTGGGCCAGGTTGGTGCAGAAGGATGCGCTTACCTGCAGCGAGGAGCACACGGCCGGCCCGGGCAGGGGAGGCGCAGGCCGCGGCCCCGCTTGGCGCCGCTGCAGTCGGCCGAGGCGGGAGGAGCGCGGAACGGTACCGCCCCTCCCGGTCCGGGCCGCGGCCTGTGCCGGCCGGCTTCCGGAAACCGCGGCGCCACCCGCAGGCGTCTGGGGTGCGGTGGTCGTAGCCCGGGATTTAAAAATCCAGCACCCAGGCCCCACCCCGAAAGCATCAGTTTGTGGGCTGGGGACGCGCCCCGCTTGTTTTGAAAGCTCTGCAGGGGATTTGTTTTGATCCCTTTTCTGGAAGGATTAGTACCTGGAAAAGAGCATCTGTCCTGTCCACAACCAACTCGGGATTTTAAAGATCCATTAAATTAAAGAAAAAAAAAGAAGGGAGACCTAGTTTAATTGTAAAAAAAAAGTAAAAACGAAGGCAACAATACTTTTTCTTTTTTTGTAATTTTGAACACTGATTTCATGTGGCAAAGTGCTCGCATTTAACACCCAACTGCACCATGGTTGAAGCAGCTCAGAGGTAGAGCACTAATTTAGCTATGCCCAGGGCCCTGGGCCCAATCCCCACCTAACGTGGGGGGTGGGGAAACAAAACAAAAACAAACCCCTCACTGCGGCCCTAAACACCGGGTATTGGATACAGGTTCACAAGAGTCAACAATTATATACTCTCAAGCCCTGTATCAGAGGAAAGAACTTTGCGTGTTCCCTGTGCTGTAAAGGAATTTGTCACCAAAAGCTAATCAAGTGAATTGAAATGTTCCCCAGATGTGAACCAAGTACACCAAGCTTATTCCTTAGCAAATGCAAAGGATGACAAGTGTCAGTACTTCATACAACTAGATTTAATAAGTTATTACAGAAAAAAAGTCCAAACTACAAAGTTTAAGCAGTTGTAAGCAGTGGCTGCATTGAGCTCCATATTTAGTCACAGTACTGTAGTTCCATACAAGCAGTATTAGTCCAAGCCCCAAAGGCAGAAGCTGAGTAAGGGTTACTAGCAAAAAAACAATCTAAGAACACAGGTAATAAAAGATACAATACATTTAAAATTAGTTGTTAGTTGAAAAACAAATACAGAGATCTTAGCTGTGAACACTCTAAAAGTTATGTCCATTATTTTGACAGCAAAAATACAAATACCTAATACTTTATACCCCAGTGGAACTGTATCCAGGAAAAAGAGTTGTCTTGTGTTAGCACCCAAGATTTCTACTTGTTACAATTAATTTCTTCATCATACAAATTTAAACAACCCTGAATCACAGAGCCATTCCTTGATCCATTTTGGGGTATAAAGTCAACAGCATTAATTATAAAATACTCTCTGGTAAGATGGAACACTAGTGTAGCTGAGATAGAGAAGTCTGATTATAAAAGAAAAAGAAAACAAAGAAATGTTAGCAAACATACCATAGAAACTAGTGAAAAAGCAACAGTTCATACAAATAAGCCAGTTTTAACAAAAGATACTCTTTTTCACTAATCTGTGACTAATCTTTCATTCAAACCTTGCAAGTAGAGATGTCACAATACTCAAATATTTAGGTAGGAGCTTTACCCAGTTAAATGCCATTTGTTGCTAATATAATAGATAAAATGAAAACTAGCAATTATTTGCTAATTGCATAAATGCAGTACATTCTGCATTAGCCCATGCCTCACTAACAAGCTATAAAACACAAGATATAGGCAGAAATCTAAGCATAATCTTTATACCACTAAACAAGAATTTTTCCAATTTCTTTCTTCTGTTCCTAATCATTTGTAGTTAATGTAAAATTCCAACCAGTAGTACCCAATTCGAGTTAAAATTTTACATCACAACTTGATCTAATCTATATATTATTTACAAAACTGAATACATAGAGCATACCCAGGAGCCATCTCTGGACTCAAGTTTCTCTAAGTTATTGATTAACCTCAGCTCCATAGCTATGGAGCTAGAAGAGGCCACCAATGACTAGTAGAAACACGCCATCTATCTAGAGCAAGTCATCGGATGTTCTGTTTACGCAACACCAGTTTTGCAGTTGTACAATGTTTTTTGCATTAATTTTAGGTGCCACTGCACCATCATGCTGCCTGAACAGCAAGGCTTCCAGGTGAGGGGGGGACTGGGAACGCAGCAGGAGCAGACAGATCATGCACAGAGGGGCGCAGTGCACTGCCGAGATAAAAGCAAAGGGGCATGGTGCGAATAACAGAGCAGGCGGGTGTGGAGGAAGATGCAGCCGGACACACACAGTGACCACGTACAGTGGTGACATCCAGGGGGCCTTCCTCGTGCCGCCAACCAGCTCTTCCAGGAAAGCACCCCGTGTGACTCTGCAGTCAGTCTATATTAGACCATCAGAAGCTGGTGTCCTCTCAGCCACTTCCTCCAGCTCACAGATGTCACCACTGTAGATTCATGTAAAAGATTTGGGAGAGAAAGGCACCATCTCACACGTGGACAGCAGCTGGTGGCAGATACACACACACACACACACACACACACACACACACACACACACACGACAAAATGAAGTTAGAGGGGGCAAAGCCATGAAATATTGTGTTGACCTAGCTAGGTTTGAAACCCAGTGGTATCTCAGTAGGGTGACTTCTTTATCAGGGCCACAGATTTGGCTGCATCTGGTGTTGTATAAATCCACTGTGACATCCCTAGAGACCTGTACTGTGACATCCCTAGTCTTACACTGCGTCACTGTAATAAAGGAAAAGGCTTGTCAAAATTTCACATGTTCTGCTCACTCTGTCACTTTATTACCCAATTATCCGTTACATTTCCAATCACTGTACATAACCAACCATTTTCATCGTTGTCACACTATTGTAAACCACATCAGCAAGATAATACATAAAGCTTTGCATTTCAAAAAACTAGACACTTTAGTAACAATATTACAAAGGTTTTAGCTTCAAAAATAACTGAAAATGAAAAAAATAAACTTTTAAAGAATTAGCATCATAAAATTAATTTATTCCAAGTAAAAATACAAAATAATATGACATTGACCAGATATGAAAGTCCCTCCCAGAAACAACTCTATTAATGATTGAGAAAGCACTCCTTAAAGAAAATACGAAACAAAATGAAAAATATGTAAATATGTTTAATTTTTTTCTTAGCAAAAAATCTTTCTAAAAATAACAATGAAAATTTGTCTCAGTACAAAGGCTACATTACTATTGAAAAAATACCAGCATGAAGAAAAGGTACATATCTGACAGTAGAAAAATGATTTCAGTGAATCACAATGTCTAAAGTTTGCAATGAAAATAAATCTGCAATAAAGATTTATGCCTTTTTTCTTTTCTTTTTTTTCTATTTTTTTTATACAAACAGTACAAACAGTATTGCACATAACAACAAATAGTCGAGGTTAGGTTATAGCCTTCAAAAAATCGACTAGTTCAAGTGTCACATCAAGGCAAGGCCACGACAGGACCTGTGTCACCCAGGGGCTTCCCAGTCAAGTTGCAGGTCAGAACACCTCTATGTTTTAAAATATAATTTTTTTGAAGGACCCTTTCTTTTAATATAACATTAAGAACTTGGGGACACGTTTATTTACAAAACAAAAAGGAACATGTTATAATTTAATAAACTAAAAAAGTTCTCTTTAAAAAAATACAAACAGAAGAACTCTTTCACAATCCTGGTCAGTCGTGCACAATCAACGCTTGATTATAAATATACAAATTAAGGGAAAGTAGTTTCCACCATCTAGTCACAACTTTCAGCACCGAAGGGAGTTTATTTTTGTAACCTGCTCTTCATGACATTGTTTTTCTGCCTTCACTTCAGCTTTACGTTGTGCAATCCTTCAGTTTTTTAAAAATCTCAGTGTTATTTTAGTACATGAAAGAGGGGTGCTTCTTCAAAAAGTTTTGCTTCTTTCACATAATTAGGTAGATTTCTGTAGGTTAGATATGATCTTTAATATTATAGTTATAAAGCTCTAACTTCTTCATTTTCAAAAAACACAAATAAGCATGAAAAAAATAAAGTTACCCATCTGTTAAATCATTTTGTTACAGAATTAAATTAATATATATTTTTCTGAATAAACTTACTTAGAAAATATCATTTTCTTTCCTATATTTCAAAATTGAGGTATTGCAAAAGATCATGTCAGTCAGAAAGCATGCCTTTTTCCTTAAAAACAAACAAACAAAAATCTTCAGCCAACTTTTGAAAACTGTCTAGAATACAAAATGTAGTAGTACATAACAAAATTTCTTGTACAGATGAAAAACAAAAACAAAAAACCACAAACATATTAAAAATATTTAAAAAAAAAAAAAAGCTAAACCATATCTGGGCTGGAAAAAAACCCAATTATTACCAACAAGCCCAGAGATAACCTCAAAAGGGGAGGATTCTAATAAGCATTTTTAATTTAGTAAAAAGCTATTTTGTTTTTCCTTTTTGAAAACAAACTGTAACTTGAGAGCCAGTAACTGCAACTAAACAATGGAGGAAAAAAACCCCAAAACATGCAATGCTAACTTAAGACGATACAAGGACATCACAGCACATAAAACACAGCGACTTAAAAAATCTATTCTGCAGTGTCATATCCAGTCAGATTGTCCCCAGAATTCCGAAACATAGGAAAAAGATTAAAAAAAGATTTATATAGTCTCGCAATCATTGTGTGTGTTTATATATTACTATCTGCAGCCCAAGAGTGAGTGCTAAAAAAATGTCCATGGTAGTACTAGCAGGGCTTAATTTTATTCAAGCTTTACAGGATAAATCCAGGGAATTAAATAGCTAATTTCTCACCCAGACAACCAACTTTGCCCAGGCCATCTTGTTTTGTACAGACATTTCTTTAGCATCACCACTACACAACTTTAAAAAGATGTGCCTCATTTGTCAATCTGACAACTTATCTCTAGATACTGTATATATGTCTTAGTGTTTGTAAGCTAAGATGAGCTCTTTGGTTCTTCTGGACAAGGTCTGAAGCTATGTAAAATGGTGCAAGCACTAGGAGATAGTAAATAAGAGCTCGTGTTACTTAACAATATACCAGTTATGAACTGTCACGTTCATCAATGTCTGACACAGAGGCTTAAAAGAGTTAAGTTTGATCACAGTTAGACATAATTACTTTACTATATAAAATAAATTGCACAATATATAACAGAGCACCGCAAAGTACTTCATCTACCATCCACAAGTTTGCTTGAAGAAAATCCTATGCCTAGGTTTTATATTGGTTGTAATATAGATCCTTTCGTGGGCTCTTCCTGTTCAGAAGCATTCCATCCACTGAGGCATGCCTTCCTCCATTCCATTACCAATTCATTAATGAAAAAAAACTCTTTTAAAAAATGAGTATTTTATAGCTTATATAGTTTCTTAATTTGTGCATTGTGGGAAGGTTTTATACTAGACATTGGATATAAAATTTATTGCATGCAGCAACCTGATTAAGTTAAACATGCAGTCAGAAGTAGTGACCTTCCTGTGAAGCCTTCTGAGAAGTCTGTTCTCATCTCCTTTCGGCAGTTTACTCTATTCCTAAATCACAGAAGTGTGTTGTTGGGTTTTGTTTCGTTTTTCATTGATACCTTAGCCTGAATAGAGTATTATGGTATTAATATACCATTTTAATAGCAGCAAAAGCTATTGCAGCATAAATTTACATAACACTAAAAAGATCTAACCAAATCCTCAGCAAAACAAAAATCAAACATTAAGGAAACAATAGGATTCAGCTTATGAGGTATCCTTAAAAGTCAAACACAGAGCAACTAAAGGCGTACTTTCTTTAAGGGCGATCCTTATTCTAAAAGACCCCAACTAACAATTGTCGAATTGTTGTGAAGTTTTTGCTACATCTGCCACCTACACACGAGTATTACCTTTGGTAAGTCTTGTCCTAGGGGCGACTCTCTTAAGTTTCTGAAAATAAGTGCATGCTCCAGTTTAAAAACAATCAGACAACAACACAACAAATAAAAGAGTCACAGACATGAACCTATGGCCGCTGATGAGAATGGTAGTCCACGTACCGTCACGCGTGACAAATCAGGTGTAAGAAAATTAAGGTACCAAGCAGACAAACGTGTGAATCAAAGTGCAAATCAGTACCGTTACACACTCCGCAACTCTGCATTATACTGGACACTGAGTTCCGTAATATGACTGTAAATAATAGTAATAATAAAAAGACCCATTTTCTTCTTTAAAAACCGAGAACGAATGCACAGATTCCAGAACACCAAGCCCTGAGGCAGCGCCTCTCCTCCCCGTTTCTTCTCCGGCCCGCGGCCGCGCTCAGCTCCAGCGGAACGGCACGTGGCGCGGGCGGTCGCCGCCCTCCTTCACCAGCGGCTTGTGGAACTCGCGGCCGGCGCGCGAGTGGATGCTGGCCCAGCAGTACTCGCAGTAATACTGCAGGCAGGTCACGTTGGCACAGAAGAACGGCGCGAACTTGCCTCCGCAGCGCGTGCCCTGGCACTCGTCGCACATCTGGTCGTCCAGCACGTACGGCTTCACTTCCACCTGGCGGGGAGACGAGAGGTTAGGGCGCCCTGCAGAGTGGGAACCCCGCTTACCACCCGCCCGGGCGTGGGAGGGTGCCGGGCAGGGCGGGGGCGAGGCCGCGCGGCAGAACCGGCGGGCGGGCCCGGCAGCCTCCCGAGCCCGGGCCTGGGACGCCGACAGACGTCAGCGTGGCGCAGCAAGTCGGCGGCTCTGCAGTGCCTTCCGCAGGCCTCAGAGCAGGACAATCGCCGGCCTCACGCCTCCATCTGCATTGCTGGGAGGAGGGCCGGGCCAGCGTCTCGCCCACACCTAGAGCGGTTCTGGGGACACAGCCCCTGCGGTGGTGCAAGGGGCGGCTGGCTCTCTTTTTCCCTTTTATTTCCAGTCCCAGAAGTTGAACCCAGTACTGCCTTTGCACTGAGCTCCAACCCCAACATGTTTTTACATTTTTAAAATCTGGAGTCAGGTTTTTGCTAAATTGCCCAGCTGAGCTCCAACTTGTGACCCTCCTGCCTCGGCCTCCCGGAGTACTAGTTACAGTAAGAGACCAGTTAGGAGTGTCAGCCGGGGAGCCCTGGCAAGCAGCAGGTCCCTCACCCACACACAGCTCAAGCACAAGCCAGTCTTCATGAGCGGCCCACACTCTCCGCCCCGAAGCCCCAGCTCAAAGCCAAGCCGTCTCTGTTCATCTGCACTTTGATCATGCAGCATTCATGTTTCTCTCTGTTGTGAGCGGAGGCCTCACTGATGAACCCGCCGTGCAGCCCAGGCTGACCTACGCCTGCCTCAGCCTCCCCAGAGCTGGCATTACAGACCCAGGCTCTGGGCTGGAGCTGCACTTTCTTTTAACCTCAAACACTCTTATTCTTTCTTTCTTTCTTTTTCTTATTCTTTCTTTCGGCTCACTTCACTTTTATGCACCTAGTGGGCTCCAGGTTTTCTTTGCTCACATAAAATCAACACAATTTAAATGTCAGTTGCATTTCAACGTTCCCAATCCCCTCCCCTGCCCTTCCTAGTCCCCACAATGACCAATCTACCTTCTTTCTATATCTATTTACCTATTCTGCATATTTCCTATAAACAGCATCATGAGACCTTTTTTTGTCTGCTCTATTTACTCACCCAAACTAGTACTCATTATACCCGCCACACACACACTTGGTCCCTCATTTGTTCCGCCTGTTGGCTGCTGCAGGTGTGCTGCGGTGAGTGTGCATGTGTCTCCGAGTGACTGATGATCTGGGGTTGACAGTGAGGAATAATTCAATCGGGAATATTTAGTGTTTAACTTTCTGTTTGCCAAGGAGCTGTACCATTTTACATTTCCACCGGCAAAGTATGAGAGATACGACTTCCACATTCTCACTGGTATTTGTTTTCCATTTTAGTGGTTATAACTGTCCTAGGAGAGATGAAGTAATACCTCCCTGTAGTTTAGATCTGCATTTCCCTAATAACGAATGACATTTAGCATCTCGCAAGTTCTTGTTGGCCATTTATCTATCTCGTTTGGAAATGTCTATTTAAATTCTTTGCTGATTTTTAAAAGTAGGTTGCCCTTTTGTTGTTAAACTGTAAGTTTACTCTATCTTCTGGATTCTAGACTTTCATCAGATATGTGATACCTCAGTTATGAACTTGATTTATTTTATAATTTTGGAGAAGATGGCTGCTTCTGTGTTTGCATGGGGAAGATGGCCATGGTCCTGTTTGTTACCTGATACAGAATTTGCAAACACAAGCAAAATTGTGCCCAATACTTTTTTTTAAACTGAATTGTTTGTAAACAGAAGCGTTCATGAACCAAGGCACTCTGTATCTTATAGGCTATATTTTCATTTTTTATAATACTCTTTGATACAGAACAGTTTTTAATTTTGATAAAGTACAATTTATGTATTTGCTGTTGTTACAGCTTCTTTTGATGTCCTACCTAAGAACCCACAGTAAGCTCCAATGCGACAAAATTTACCCGTTTTCCCCAGTCATATGGTTTTAGCTCTTATATTTAATTTGCTGATCTTTTTTTTTTTTTTTTTTTTTTTTTTTTTTTTTGTCTTTTTCGTTTTTATTGGTACCAGGGATCGAACTCACGACTGCCTGTTTGCAAGGCAGGTGTTTACGCCGCTGAGCTAAATCCCCAGCCCCTTGCTGATCTATCTTAAGCTAATGTATAGATATAGCATGAGGCAGGGCCCAGCTTCATTCTTTTCCAGGTGAACATTCATTGCCAGTTTCCTTGTTTTGAGACAGGGTCTCACTATGTAGCCAAGCCTGGGCTTGAATTTGTGAACTTTCTGCCTCAGCCTCCTGGATACAGGAGACCATTTTTTTTTTTTTTTTTTGCCTAGGCTGGCCTTGATCTCCTGGGTTCAAGCAATCCTCCTGTGTCAGCCTCCCAAGTAGCTATAACTATAGGAACACACTGTAATGTTGAACACAGAAGAGACTATTCTTTTTTGGGGCAGTACTGGGGATTGAACCCTTTCTTACTTTTTATTGTGAGACAAGGTTTCTTTAAATTGCTAGTTGCTCAGGCTAGCCTTGCACTTGTGATCCTCCTGCCTCAGCCTCCCAGAATGCTGTAAGTGTAGGTATGGGCCACCACACCAGGCTAGGAAGAGACTATTCATTAGTCATTGAATGACCTTGGCAATTGTGTTAAAAATCAGTCAGAGGCTCAGGCTTCCAAAACTACTGCAATCCCTTCTCCTTTAAACTGAACTACTCCGCAGTGCTCATCTAGAATTTCCTAGTTATTGTCCAGCTATGGTCAGATTGATGATGTGAGGCCAGATTCTTGGAGCAAGACGGGACCATGGCACACCCAGTAGAGAAACTCGATCTGCGGATACTGACAAGCGCCAGGGGGAAAGGGGCTACAGGCTTGTGACAATGCATCTAACCTGCCTGCTTCCATCTCTGAAAATGCTGGGGATGAGTTCATTCTATGGGGGAGGCTTACTGAGAAGCAGGGGACAGGTGGTGCTTTTCCACCCGCAGACCCCCAGCAGCAGAACGTTTTCCTTCTGCCAACAGAGAGACCCCCATATCCCGGGGGTGCTGACAATAGAACTGAGCCTCAAAAGCTTAGGAAAGAGGGTCTGTCAATCAGAGAGAAGGTTGGCTTGAACAAACAGAAGTCACACCCAGCAAAAGGAAACTTCAGGAGCAATGAGGCAACAGTTGTTTACATAGCAGGGAAACATAAATGCCTGTGAAAGAATTTAAGTCCACACAGGAGGAGATGAGTTTGATCCCTGGTACAAAACAAAAAAGGTTCATATTTATAAGTATTTGTTCCTATCACATTGGCTGATATTTAAAGTTATTATAAGTGGTTCTTATCCTTTCCTAATAAAAATGTAAACTGCTAAGTTTTGAACAGTAAAGTAATAAATTCTTACAAATAAAAATATATATAGTCAGGCCTGGAGTTGTATCTCAGTGACAAGAACACTTGCCTCGCATGTTTGAGGGTTGGAGTTGCCTCCAGCACTGCAAAACAAAACAAAACACAACACCAGATATCCCACTCTATACTGTCACCCAATAATCCCACTGTTGGTTATTGTTACTGAGGTAATTCCATTGCCTGGAAATATAATTACCAGCTTCAAGGATACACGTAAAGTATGTTCGTTAGAAGAAAAAGTAGAAACAAATGTCTACTTACAAAAAAATAGTGGAAAAAAACTCGGTGGTATACTTACCATACAGAATGTCATGCAGCCATGAAAGGCTACATCAGGTGATTAAAAGAATTTCCATCACACAGGAATGTTTTAAGATCAAGTAGGTTGATGGATACAAGAACCTACTTCAAACTGTGAAATGCTAACCAAGTGAATGCAGGATATGGGTGTTTAGGTTGTCCCCTGCTTAAAAAAGTGTGATTATTTTGGCTTAAATGGATTTACTCATATGACAAAAGACTGCGTATTCCTTGCTACCTGCTATCTTAAAACTGAAATGCAATACAGAACAAGATGTACTTACTTTCCAAAATCAGTTTTGTTCTACAATGATTTCTTTCTTTCTTTTTTTTTTTTTTTTTGTCTTTTTCTTTTTTGTTGGTACCAGGGATTGAATTTACGACCACACATTTGCAAGGCAGGCGCTTATGCCGCTGAGCTAAATCCCCAACCCCCCTACAATGATTTCTTAAAGGCATTCCTAAACCATTTGTAGTTTTTACCATATTCCAGTGCCATCTATACTACTGACTGTTACTTTATTTATTTATTTATTACCTTTTTTGAGATAGGGTCTCACTATGCAGTTCAGGCTGGCCTTGAACTCACTTTGTAGCCAGGCTGATCTTGAACTTGCAACAATCCTCCTGCCTCAGCCTCTTGAGTGCTGGGGTTACAGTCATGTGCCACAATGCCCAGCTTTGCCTGTTCCTTTAAATGACTATCTGAATTAATTCTATTTTTCCCCAATAAGCAAGTGTAACAAAATACCAACTGATTTCTCGTTTAACCACCAAAACTACCTGGAGTATCAATTAAGCCATGACACTTTGGAAACATCAATCTTATGGCAATCACATTACTGATCTCAGGGCTGGGGATTTAGCTCAGCGGCATAAGCGCCTGCCTTGCAAGCAGGCGGTCGTGAGTTCAATCCCCGGTACCGATAAAAATGAAAAAGACAAAAAAAACAAAAAACAAAACCACACACACATTACTGATCTCTACTACCATTAAAGCCCCAATACATGCTAGATTCTCACGTACAGCTGATCATGATCAACTTGACCCTCTATTTCAAAGGGGCCCATAGTCACAGGAGATGAGAAGTATCTTTTGAGACACTTGGATTCACATTCACATGCCTGGAATATGTCTGTGCCGAAGGATGCAAAAGAATATATGTAATTTATCAATGTGCCGATAACACTAAGGATAAAGAAGACTGGTTTTTTTTTTCTTTTTCATTTTCTTTTTATTGGTACCAACGATTGAACTCATGACTGCCTGCTTGCAAGGCAGGCACTTATGCCACTGAGCTAAATCCCCAGCCCCAGAAGACTGTTTAAGAACACTGGATAAGGGGCTGGGGATTTAGCTCCGCAGCATAAGCGCCTGCCTTGCAAGCGCGTGGTTGTGAGTTGGATCCCCAGTACGGTATACAAAGAAAAAAAAAGACAAAAAAAAAAAAAAAAAAAAAGGAACACTGGATAAACGGCTATAGAAGATAGGTAAAGGAAATTGGTTAGTTCTTTTTCTCATTACTGATGCCCAGAGTTCAGGGAGGAAGGGTTTACTTTAGTCACAGTTTTTAGAGGTTTCAGTCCATGATCAGCTGGCTCCAAGGCCAGGATGGGTTGGCAGAGAAACCGTTCATGGCAGGCAGAAGGTAAGAAAGCAAGCGGAGAAGAAAGACAAGCCTCTTTCTGTCCCTCACAGGGTACACAGGCTGCCCGCCCTGGGCAGGTGTAGTACTCACACTCTTAGTCCAAGTCAGAACCAGTACAAACCAGTCAGTGGACTATTTAGTAATCACACACCCTCAAGCCCCGCATCACACACTCTAGATTCAGCCATCTCTGAGAAAGCCGTATGGCTACATGAGGCTTTGGGAGGACATCTAGGCACAAACCTTAACAGAAAAGTAATAGTTGGGTGTAGTGGGGTGAGAGTGTAATCCTAGTACTCAAGAAACTGAAGCAGGAAGATTGGAGGCTACATAATGAGTTCAAGCCCAGCCTCAACTACAAAGTCAGACCCTGTCTCAAACAAAAACAAAAAACAAGCAACAACAACAAAAAAAGAAATAATATATCTAAAATGATAAAGACAAAATAAAATTATACTTTAACTAACCGGTGTCAATGCTCCATTGTTGTTTGTAACAAGCTACTGAAAATGTGCAGTCATTTTGGTATCAGTCAACAAACTGACATACCAAAGGAATAAAACAACGACTAAATAACCCTTGGTGGCAGAGAGGAGATACCACAGAGACCAAACCTACGCACAAGTACAAACTTCCCTCTCCTTGGGTGTGACAACTGCAACGATGATAAGGGAGCTGTCTGGCCAAGCTCGGGTGCAGTTTAAATTGTGTGAAAGTCACATTAAGGACAGCCTACTACCAGCCCCTGCTGCGGCCTGCCCTTTGGCAGATGAACCAGCCAAATAAAACAAATACCCAGGATTCTGAGGGAGGCAAGGCAAGCTTACAGACGACTGGAAAGCAAGTAGAAGCAAGGATTTTAAATCACAGAGCTCAAGTGGAAAGGCTGAAAAAGGAGGCCACATGATGAGCTGTACTGTAATTTAACAGAAATAAACTTAAGGTTTGTACCTGGTCTCCACAATTGACAGCACAAATACAAGGTGTAAGCCAAGGCATAAGAAAGATGCACATGCAAGTAAAGTGTTAACTCGGAGATTTAAGGAGGCTGAGAAGGCTGACAAAAGGACCAATGAAATCTAAGCATTGTGGCAGGCTTCTGGAGGAAAACAGTGAACTGGAGATCACAGATAGGAAAGGCAGGCAGGATGCATGCAGAGCCGCTCTCTGTATCCGAGGGAAGAAACAAAGACACGGGCTGGACATGGCACAGGCCTGTGATCCAGCACCTGGGAGCTAAGGAAGCAGGACTGCCTGAGTTCCAGGCTAGCCCGGGCTACACAGAGCCCAGAGCCAGCCTGTACTACAGAATGAAATCCTGTCTCAAAGAACAAAACAAAACAAACAACCACAACAACAGTAAACTCTCAAAGAACAAAACAAAACAAACAACCACAACAACAGTAAACCAAGGCGAAACAAGAGAATGCTGATCCCAGTGATGCTCAGAGGGAGGAGGAGTGAGAGGTGGAATGAAGGGTACTTACATGAAAAACACCAGCTCGGACATTCTATCCCCTGGCTTCCAGGGAACGGTACTCAGAATGATGGGGTGGGGCGGGGAGCTAATTACACTATACTGGAGCGTAAGTGAATATTCTTTGTCTCTCCAGGCTGCCGCAGATGCATGGTGATCGCTACGAGAGTGATGGCAGTGTCAGGTTTATCGCCAAGAGGCACAGTGTTTAATCACAGGAAGAGAAAACCATCTTTGCACATGGGGCGGCCTAAAGGAGCCTTCATCATTCAGAGATACCTGTGACACAGCTGTACATGTCTGCAGCATCCAGGATTTGAAGCACAAACCCCAGCACGAGATGAAGCTGCCCGAAGCACACTGTGTTGTGTGATTCAGAAACATTCTCTTTAATAGTACTCAGGAATGAGTTACCTAGGTAGTAAGAATAACTTGGTACTTAATTCCTTTGAAATATTTAACTCAGTATTCTACTCAGAGAGATGACTGCAGAAGATAGCAATCTAGAGATGCGAGAAATTAGCTGATGACAACAAAAGCAAGCTGTTAACACATTTCCTGATAGCTAAGGTGACACAATGGGCTAAGTCCAGCACAACTCAACAGAGCTCACAGGCAGCAACTGACAGCCTCCCCACAGTGGGTGACCAATGTGCTGGGCAAGAGAGTTGAGAATAGAAGACTCTATCAAGGTAAGAAATACCTGAAATGAAAGGTTAAGATGCTGCACTCTTAAAACTTTCCAAGCTAAGGGCATTATTTGAGGAGGAGAGGTTTAATTTGGTTCATGTCAAGTTCATTATTTTTTAAAGTAAATTCTTGAGGCCTGGGAAAATCTGGAGGGATATGTCACCCTGAATAGGAATGATGAATTACTTAATGGCTTTATTTAACATTATGTCTGGGACCCTGAGTTCTTAACATGAGCCTATTTTAGAATCATGATGAGACATAGTTTAAATTCACACATGGAGGGGGCTGGGAATTTAGCTCAGCGGCATAAGCGCCTGCCTTGCAAGCAGGCAGTCGTGAGTTTGATCCCTGGTACCGATAAAAAAGGAAAAAGACAAAAAAAAAAAAAAAAATTCACACATGGAGGAATGGGGATATAGCTCAGGAGGCATAACTGTGAAACTCTGTCACCATTTAAAAAAATTTTTTTTCCCAGCCTATGCCACAGAATACAACTAACATTCTCAGTACACATGATATTTTCTGTTACACACATGTATTTTAAAAATTTTTTTAAATAAAAACATTTATTTTAAAATCCTACTGTTTAAAAAACAGACGATAGCTGGGCATGTTGGCACATACCTGGTAATCCTAGCACTTGGGAGGCTGACACAGAGGGTCATCGTGAGTTTGAGGCCAGCCCAGGCTACATAATGAGACCTAGTCTCAAAAGAGATGAGAGAGAGAGAGGAGAGGGGAGGGGAGGGGAGGGAAGGGGAGGGGAGGGGGGGGGAGAGGGAGGGAGGCCAAATGCATTGGCATAGTGAGATGGACTTTTTTTTAGACAAGGTCTTGTTGTGGAGTTCAGGCTGGTCTTGAACTCACTGTATAAGCCCAAGCTGGTCTGAAACTTGTGACAATCCTCCTACATCAGCCTCCTCATTTTGGGATTACAGATACATGCCACCACATCCAGCTGAACATGACTCTTCTGGGAGCCAGAGAAGGAATGTTGCTTTAATTTTTCAATAACTTATTTTGAGACAGGATTCCACCTGTCAGGCAGGACTCTGTGTGCAGTCCTCCTGCTTCAGCCTCCACAGTGCTGGGGTTACAAGCATGCACCCTACACTAGCTGGATCTTAGAACTTTTCAATTCAAGGATTCAGAATTTTTTTATTTAACTTTTCTTTTCTATTTTTTTTTCATTTTATTTTTGTGGTGCTAGGGATCAAGACCAGGGCCTGGCACGTGCTAGGCAAGTGCTCTACCACTGAGTCATACCTTCACTCCTACTTATTTAAACATTTACTGTTTTCAACTGTTTTTCTATACAGATAAGTGTAGCCTTCTGGGAAAAACTCCCTCCTGAAGTTCCGCAGACAGGAGCTATGCTGGTAAGAGTGTCACTTTTTTGGATCTGGGGCATCCCCCAAAACCCCTTGTGTTTGGGAGGCGACTAGTTCATGCTAGTGCTCCACCACCCATCAGTGGACTCATCCAGTGATGAGCTCGCAGGGCTGTGTGTACCTTCTTCCCTGGCCCCTCTGTGTTCTGCTTCCTGGCACCATGATGTGAGTAGCCTTCTGCCACGCCCTTCCTAATGTGGAGCTGACAACCCCTGTCAGGTCATCAGATTCCTAACTCCTGTTTCTTCTGAGTGTTAAATCCTCTAAAAGCCACGAAATAAAACAGAACAGAACAGAACAGAATTGTTTAATTAGAGGATGTTGGCTCTTATGTCTTGGTGATAAGGAAATTAACTTTTAAAAAGTCTATATTATTTGGGAATGGGGCTAGAAGTATTTGGGGCATAAATTATCCCCAATCAAGTACTGATAGCAGAAAAATATACCATATGGGCAGGAAAATTGTTAAAAATCTATAAGATGTGTAACAGTTGGGGCTGGGGATTTAGCTCAGCGGCATAAGCACCTGCCTTGCAAGCAGGTGGTCGTGAGTTCCATCCCCAGTACCGATAAAAAGGAAAAAGACAAAAAAAAAAAAAAAAAAAAAAAAAATGTGTAACTGTTGTTGCATCACCCCTGGCTTCCCCCCAAGGTACACAAAAGCAAAGCACCTCAACTAGGTCACAACTCATTTGTTTTCCCAACTGGATAAGGGGTTTGAACTAGCGTTTCCAAGTAAAAATAAGGAGTGACCAAAAACTGGTAACTGACTGATATCACCTGAACCCACGGTGAAAGACCTGTGTTCCGCTGTAACTACACAGAAAAACAGTGACAGTCTTTTTCCTATTATTTATCTCATAAATTACCTCTATGCACAATATGAGAAAGAAAAAAGGAATATTTTATACAATCTAAAGAGATTTTCATATTAAAAATACCTACAATTCCAACAGAGCAGATATACAAAGAGAACAGAACAGGAGAAATCAGGGCTCATAATCAGGAAGGGAAGCCTTAACAAATGTTCTCTTCTATTCAAAGAAGATTTTTTCCTCTTCTCTTTAGATGACCCAAATTCCTTTTAAAAAAATTATTTTTAGTCAAAGGCTCTAAAACTCCCAGCATTTCAAAATAAGCCAAGGTAGGATTAGTTCAGGCAATATTTTAACTCAGTTTTGGATTCCTCTCAAGAGGACAAGTCAAACAGCTTTAGCAAAAGCAAGACAGTTTTCAGAGCAGATCAGGCAGCGAGTACAACCGCAGTAAGATAAAGGCTGAGCTGTAGGAGTCCCAGGCTCAGGTTAGGAACAAAAATAGCCCAGGAACCAGTCATCAGAGGCTGACTCCTTTTGCTATGAGTCATCTTGTATATCCCAGCTGCAGCCAGAGACAAAACGTAATATTATCAACACTCTGTGAGTATGGTTGCTGGGTCATGTTAATCTTCATGCAGGTTAAAAATATCATACCTTTGGTAGACTTTAGCAAATTTGAGATGTTTCCAGTAGAGTCACAATTTTTTTTTTAAAGATGCGAAGTACTTATGGTGCTTGCAAAGAAAGTGCAATGGAAAACATCTCATTAAATTGAAAATGGGTTATTTTAAATAGCATGGTATTCAAAGCAAACATTACATGCTTTGGCTTAGCTATCACAATGCTCCTTAAATAAAAGTATAGAGACTCTCAACTTGGCTAACAAAGTCTCTCCAGTTCTCAATATTAAACTAAAATAGTTGAAGGAAGAGTATTTGGCAATGGTATTTTAAACCTATTTTTCTTCCTTATACAGAGACATTTTATATGACATTTTAGAAAGATGAACACATAGTCTCAAGTAATCAAAAGACAAAGAATTAGAAAAATTAATTCTGGACTTGAGGATATAGCTCAGTGATACCATGATTTCTAGCATAGAAAATCCTGGGCCCCAGGAAGGAAGGAGAGGGAGGGAGAGGGGGGAAAGGAATGGAGGCAAAATATATAAACATTAAAGGGAATATCACCTTCAACACCCCTGGTATCAAGAATACACAGTTGCTGTTTCCTTTCCCAACCCCTAATCCTCTGCAGACTGAAAAGACATGGTAGGCGGGAAACTCTTGTTTAAAAACCCGAGGAAGGGAAAACGGTCAACGGCTTAGCACAGTACATGCTTCTTTCATGCAATTTGTGTGTGAGAAGAAGAGTTGAAAACACCGAGAGTGCTTTCTCAACAGGTTTCCCTAAAACATTATTTCCAAAACTATGGGATATTTCAGCAGAATTCTACAATTAAAAAAATCATGAAAAATTGCATGTTTCTCTCTTGGCTCTTCACAATGAAGATTAGTATGTAAAAGATTCTAATGTGCCCTAGAAGTGTGGTGGCAAGCCTACGTTAGACCTGCCACTGTGGGCTATTTGTTACCACTGAAAGCTCCGAAAGTTCACCATCACTGTCTTATAATAAACCTGTCTATTTTGCTTTAAGCAAGCATTTTCAAACCATTTGACTCAAAAACAGAGTGATTTAGGGAAACATTCTAGAGATGGATTCCTGGGTAGGGCAAGAAATTCTGAAAACTCCTACTTCTATTTAAAAAACACAAATTTTTGAGCAACTATCTCTAAGATGATAATATGTAATCTATTAACTGGTGATTTCTTACTTTTTTTTTTTTTTTTGTAGTTCTGTATTACTTGTACCCTTACACCGCTTTGTTTTGTTTTGTGTTTTTCTCTTTTTCCTTTTAAATAAAATTTAAAAAAAAAATAAATAAAAAACACTATCCAACTTTACCCCTATCTTGTCTGAAATATTCACCTACATTTTTCTGCTGAATTCAAATTAGATTGTCTTCAATAAGAATCTTTCAAAAAGCTCAAATATTAAATCATCTGTAGTTTCACTTAAGTCAATGTGCTGCTGTACCTTGACAAAATGCTTTAGAGTTTTTTTTCATATATATTCTTTTTTTTCTTTTTTTTATTTTTATAGCCTACAGCACCCGTTAGTCCCAGGCAGTCTCCCATCCAAGTACTAACCAGGCCCGACCCTGCTTAACTTCCAAGATCAGACAAGATCGGGTGCATTAAATGCTTTATAGTTTTTAAAAGCATTTTCATTTATGCACACACACCCCTTTCTAAAAGCCACATGACAAGTGGTACAGTGAGGACAAAACCTAACAATGGCTCATTCTAGTGTGGCACCCTATCTTTTGGCTAAGAAAACAAAACAAAACAAAACACCCAAACCAAACCAAAACAAAACTTCCATCAGCTGAACTGAGAGACTGTAAGTGCGTGTGCTGCACGATGCAGTGAAAGTTCACAGACCTCTAGGAGACAACATGACCATATTGCACTAACCAACAGTTGAGAGTGAGGTTCAGATTTTTATAAACAAATTATGCATATAAATCTAACTATAGCTTTTTTGCTAGGTTAAGGCAGAGCTAACTGATCCTTATTTAATAATTTTCTCATGCATACGCCCACGATCCCAGCACATGGGAGGCTAAGGCAGGAGGATCATGAGTTTGAGGCCCTTGTAGGCTACATAGGGAGTTCAACGTCAGTTAGAATTACATAGTGAAACTATCTCAAAAAGCAAAAAAAAAAAAAAAAAAATTCCTCATGACTACATAGTAGACAAGAGTAGAAAAATAACCATGTAAAAAGATCACCTATTTTCTTTCTTTCTTTTTTTTTTTTTTTTTTTTAAATTTTTTTTTTGTCTTTTTTCGTTTTTATCGGTACCAGGGATCGAACTCACGACTGCCTGCTTGCAAGGCAGGCGCTTATGCCGCTGAGCTAAATCCCCAGCCCTAAGATCACCTATTTTCAATGATCTCATTTTTCATACTACAGAAATATTTCATAAATGAGTGGCCTAGACTTGAGTTATAGAGAAACTAGATTGAGTGCAGCTTTCACATCTAAGTGTTCATTTGTCGTAACGTCTAAAAATACCACTGTGACAGAATGAGTACAAGTGACATCTTTTGCTTTTATTATATTTAAATGTTTTAAAGTTCTGGTTTCTCACAAAAACTATTTGAAACAATGCAAACAAAATTTAATCCTATGCCAATCTTTTTTTTTTTTTGGTACTGGGAATCAAACTCAGGACCTTACACTTGCCAGGCAGGCACTGAGCATTATCCCCAGCCTAAAATTTAATCCGACCTTCTATTTTATTCCAGGTATGAAATCTTCATTATCACAGAAAGCATCGTATGCTAGTACTTCTTTCTTGGGCTAGCAAGGGAAAAAAATCTTTCAACACCTTTTGTTCCGGTACTGGGCATTAAACCTAGGGATGCTCTACCACTGAGAATTTTGAGGCAGGTTCTTGATAAATTGCCTAGGATCACTATGAACTTTCAATCTTCCTGCCTAAGCCTCCAGACAGCTGGGACTACAAGCATGTGCCACCACACCTGGTCCCTTAAATCCTTTAAATGGAAAATGTACCTCAGTGTTTACATCTATAAATGAAACTTTAAAGTTTCTACATGTGTGTCTTGGCTAATACCAAAATAATGTTGTGGGCAGGCTTATGCTAATTTTTGGTCTGCCAAATTTAATCATTTCATCAACCTTATATGAAGGGTCTGAGCAGGCATTTAAAACAAAGCCAACAATAACCTTGAACATATGGTTAGGGAACAGTCCAATTAAAAAGGCCAGACTCTACAATAATACAAATTAACATCTGCACAGCCTTAGTAACTTCCCAGAGCACTCCTTCATCTGTCACTGTTTATCTGGGCAATAAACTGTGAGGCACTTAGGCTGGTGATTTTTACTATCACAAGATAGTAAATTGAGTTTCTGAAAGCAGCTTGCCAAGGTCACATGACAATTGAGAAACAAGCCAGGAGCAGACTCAGAATTCCCAGTTCTCAAACCAGCCCTCTTTTTCACTAGAGCAACTGTTCTCTGGGACATGAGTATAGACGGTTATAGGACATAAACTTCCTTACACTCTACTGGTCCTGCCTCTAAGTGCCCTGTTGGGGATCTAGAGAGCCTGATACCCATGAGAGCAAATCACAACCTCATGTATGCTGAGACAGAAAAAATGTGCTGAGTATCACACATCCTTGATATTGTCGACACAGGGACAAATTACCAACTGGCAATAAGGTGAATCATAAAATATGGATAATATAAACCTTATTTGTGCCCATGTGCTAGAAAATCATGGTGACTCTAGAGGTATCTTGCTTCCAACAATGAATGTTCTGAAAAGTTACCTGAAATATTAAAACATATAAAAAGTTTGATAAGAGGACCTATGATCTCAGAAATGCTAACCCAGGTAATTTCAAGGGAATGAAGATTCAGGAGACCCTGGATGAGCAGAACTGCTTAGGAAGGAGTCCAACAAACAGAAGAAGGTTTGTCCTGACTTGCAGGAATTTGAAAATCTTCAAATGTCTTCTAGATTCTCCTCTGTTACAAAATGAAGAGGTTGGGTGAAGCCATGCTTAAAATGAGGTCCAGTTCAAGTGTACTCTAATTGTCAAAGAGCATTTTTTATATATTAAATAGTCAAACCTCATTTTGTTACTGGGATAAGAGTAAACTAAGTAGAAAAGGAAAGTTGTGCAAAGTTCCTGCTGGTCGACAGATGGAGACGCCCACAGCTGTAAAGAAAAGATTTCCCGTCTGGGCCACTTCTCCAACAATCAGCATCTGGCCATTGAATCAAAAATAAATAATCAATGTGTGTCCACTATGTGTCATGTTTTGAGTATAAAGTAGCTAATCTGAAAGACACACAGTCACTGCCTTTCTGGATTGTATAATCTATCAGAGTAGATGAGCATTAAATAAAGTATTATTTTATTCCAGTGGCATTTAAAGCCACAAAGGAATAGTAGATGGTAATATGATGACCTCTGAGAGATGCATAAGTTCCAGTGAAGAAAGTGCTTCTAAAATTAACACAATCTGAGACCTAAAAGAAAAGCAGATACTAGCCAAGCAAAGGAAAATATAATGATTCTGAGCAAGAGGCCAGCTATGACTGGCTCAGGAGGAGGAGGCAAAAACGGGGAGCTAAGACAGAAACACGCACAGCACATGAAGGGCCATGTAGGTAAGTTTAGGGATTTTAACTTCTATCTCAAATAAAATATAAACCAAAGGTTTAAGGGAGAGGAGTGATTTGTTTCAAATTATGATTTTAAGCTAGGCGTGGTGGTACGTGCCTATAATCCTAGCACTTGGGAGGCTGTGGCAGGAGGATCATCATAAGTTGGAGGCCATCCTGGGCTACAATAGTGAGTTCAAGGCCAACCTGAACTACATAGTGAGACCCTGTCTCCAAGACACAAGCCAAACAAAAACAAAAACTTCATGGTTTTTTTCCATTTGAGCCTCTTTTTCAATTAATACATGTTTGTAGTACACAACATTTACACTTCTTGAATGGAGTTAGTATTTATGCAAAACATTTCTTAATTTCTTTTTCATTCCCTTTCCTTCTCTTCATCCCCTTTCCATTTGAAAAAGATCTACCTCCCTACTTTCTAATACCTATCTTTCATTTTGCTCTTTATTTATACTTTGGGTTTCATATATAAGAGAAGTCATTTGATATTTAAGCTTGTATTTTCAATTTCTTTCACATAAATGACCACTGTGACTGTCTTGTAAAAAATGATTTGGAGGTGGCATAAAGCTGAGCCCAATGGGGAAGCTATTCCGGATGTCCAGGTGGGACAAAGCTAGATGTCTGGTATCCTTGACAGCCTTCATAGTTGCATGCAATCCTCACTGTCTCATAGGTCATACTAACTTATTTACATATAACTGAATGCTTGCTGTGCGCTAGGTACTCCCCATTCAGATCCTTGGCACAAGAGGCAGAATCAAGGTCTCAGTAGGTCTGTACTACCACCATAATCCCATTTCATCTCTCTTAGTCCTCCTTGTGGCTAG